CTTATTTTAGCATTGTTGTTTTAGTTTTCAATTATATTAATATTTATACATCTAGATATATATAAAGAGCCGTGGCTAAACTGCTCCACGCACCTTAAATGGTGGGTGGCGCAAGAAGCGAAGAAAGTAGTTTTTTTTAATAATATCTGAAAAAAAATATTTTTAACATTTGGTGCTCTAATGACAATTTATTTTTTAAGGAAGATGAGAGGGGGGGGTACACCGAACTGTTCCTATACAATACTTTGAATGTTGTATATGAAAAGTCAATATCTGTTTTGTGTGCGTGTGAGAGAAAAAAAAATTAAAATAACAAAAACAATTCAAGCAACAGAAATAACAGCTTTTATTTTCTTTTCTTCCCTAAAGAGACTTCTTTTTTTCCATATATTTTATCACTAATAAGGCCAATAGAAATATTTTTATAGACAAATCGACCTTTTTTTCTCAACAGAATGAAATCTTAAATGATCAAACAAAATATGTACAGATCGCTTTTACTGTTGGTTGCACCAAGGAAGTTGTATTATACAGACTTTAAACTAATTGATTAAAAGCCAAAATATGCGCGTTTGAAACTCTTATAAATAACAATAGCGAAATAATAGGAAACATTTGTGTCGCGTGGAAATACTTTTATATGATTATACATCGAAATGACAGCAGTCTCATATATTAGTTTAAATAAAAAAAAACTTTATGATGCATAGTATTGTGATTAATATATTTTACTATTTTGTTAAAAAATTATTCTATCTGTTCAATCATCCTTGTATAAGTCCTGTTTAAATAAAAATGTTTTTAAATCATAAGATTATTTTAGAACTCTACGAGTAAAAAAAAATTCAAATGCCAAAAAATATCAAAACAAAGTTGTGAGACAATAAACAATTTGATTCCCTTTAAAAATTAAAAGTTTAAATCTTTAAGAAAATAGTAAATTGAAAGTGTTGGGGTTTCCAACAATCTCCAGTACAATCTTTAAATGATCTTCGATAAGACAACACGTAGAAACGTTACAACACGTACGTGACAACACGTAGAAAATTCATTTTACTTTTCAATACTCATATTAGTATAGTCTATTTTGCATTTTTACAAAAGCATTATTTTTGATTTTAAAGTTTTTTTTACAAACAAGTTTTTAAAAAACAAAGCTTGCATATTAGTAAAAATGTTTTCAAATACATGAGACATTCTTAGTTATATAAAATAAATCTATTGTTTGGAAAAGTTAGAAATTATCAATTAATTAAACATTTAATGAAAGAAGTTTACAAACCAAAAATATTGGTTAAATGTCGGTTTATATTGTAAAATTATTTCAAAAAATGACGTTAAGAATTCAATATCGCATAAAATTTCAGTAATTGGCGGCGCCAATAATCAAAAACAATGCGTTAAAGGTCCATCTATTAAACGTTTTTAAAATTGACAACTTGTCCTCCACCTTTAATCTTAAGAGCATAGAGTGCATCTTCAACTAATCTTGGAATATCATTATCCATTGTGAGATGAAAATTTCAGATTCTCATATTAAATAATGTTGTTGATGTTGATGTTGACGATGATACTCAAGCCAATTAAGATGATGGTGAAGCCAAATTAGAAGCAAATGAAGATATTGTTGGCGGTTACAGTTAGTATGTTTGTGATATTGATTTATCTATGCAGAAACTTATAAAATTAGTATATAAACCATTCAATGCAAAAACTCATAAAATTAGTATATAAACCATAAATTCTTTTATTAAATTGAACTTATTTTTACATTTATACTCCCCAAGCGGGCATTTGTTTTTAAAAGTTATGTTCTAAATGTATTTTAAATGTCTTTTAAACATCTTCTAAACATTCTTACGTAAAGAAAATTTAAAAGACGTTTAATAAGCGTTTAAAAGACATTTAGAACGCAATTTTGAAAAATAAATGCCACACTAAGTAAAAACGAACGCCACGCTTCATTTGTGCGTGAAAGTTTTACGTGGCCCACGTCTGGGAAGCACATGTTAGCCATACATTTACCACTCTCCTTTATGGTCAACTGTTAAAATATTTAAAAGAGGTTGTGTTTAAACGCTAATTTTTTTGGTAATAGAAGCTCTTTACATTTTGCACATAAAGTTTTGTTGATTTCGTTTCTTTCATATTTTCTACTGGGCAGAAAAAAAAAGCAAATGTTCACATTTTTTTAGAGTTACTGATTCTTTTCGTATTAAACACATAAATTACATTTAAAAAATTGTAAATGACGATTATATTTATTTTTTAATTCTTCAAGATCTATTTCTTTGAGACAAGCGCTGTCACGATGCATTTTAAATGTAAGCAATCATTAAAAATAACCAGACTTTTAAACCAACACCAAGACAATCGATAAGTTTTTTTATTTTGCTTAAGTTATTTAGTAAAGTTAAGACCTTTACTGAGTTTTTCGTTATTAGCATTCGTTATTATGAGGTTTTGAAACCATATTTAAATGAGGTGTAATATTATTTATGGTATTAAGACATAAAAAAATTTTAAGAGCATATTTGGTATCATCTAACAGCATGACATTGAACACATTTTTCATTTTTATTTTTTTGGTTAGCTCCAACAGCGTAATTTTTTTTGCCAACAAAATATTCATAAACTGTAAAATGTATCTTTAAATACTTATTACGAATCTTAATTTAAGAAAAAGAAAAATATTCAAATAAATGTACTGAATAACCACATAGCTCTAACTTTATCTATTAAGTAGTGTTTATATTCATCAACTAAATTAAAATATTAAATTAATAATAACTGCATACAAAACTGCATACAAAAATGCTGTTAAAAATTTAAATAAAATGACTCGGGTAACTTTTTTACAATAACATAATTTCATATCTAAAATGGTGTCAACTTATGTCAATAATGAGTTGTTATTTTTGAACAATAAAAAAAATTGATTGCTTAGATTATTTATAAGTAATAAAAAAATAAAAGGTTCTGTTTATGGTAATACCACGCTCATCCCTCACCACCCTCACAACATCTCTAAGAATGTTGGAGCTGTATTAAAAACTGGGATAGAGATTGGGTTTTTTGGCTTTTGTAGCGTAGTTCTATTATATTGCAATATTGATTAGCATGAAGTAGAGCGCCTGCGGTGACATATGTTGCAAGGACACGCCCCTGACAAGTGGTGTTAGTGCAGTTCTCAGGCTCTCCGAAACGTTATTGGTGATCGCAGTACATTCCTTAGGGGGGAGGGGGGAGGACACTAAATATCTACCATTTAAATCTAATTGGTTATTATGGCACAAACATTTTTTTATCTCTTACACCCATTAATTTTTGCGCTTTGTGAGCTTTTCATTATGAATTTGTTACAATAACAACATTTATATATTTTAATCTTACGCAGGTAATTATAGTTTTTCAATTTGTTATCTAGAGTTTAGACTATATAAAGTACCACATTTATTAGAATTTTATTTTTTATTGGTTTTTATATCGCTCCAACAATCATACCATTATCATTTTACTTACTATTTTGTTATCTACTTATTTAAGTTTTTTCATGGTGCGATTATTTTAGTAATGGACACCATTAATAAACCAGCGGAATTATACTGACTTATTTACTCATAGATCATTGTTTTATCATTTGCTAAAGATGACTAGAGTGTGAGTCATGATTCCTCTCATCCTAAGTTGCTAACTTTTACTCTACTTACTAAATAGTCTTGACATTAATTTATGTTTTTTTACCTAAATGACATCGTCTACAATTTTTTTTTTATTTTCACATCACCCAGGTGTACGTAACTGGACGGCTCCGTTGGTTTTGCGATCTTTGTGTGGCATAAACAAGACTTTATTCTTTGTTGCTAGTGAGCCCCAATTTTATTAAATATACACCACTATGACAAAATGGACATTACACTATCCCGCTGGATATGGCCTACGGTAACTAATGTGTGCATTCGATCAACTGAAATCCATTCTGTAGTTCTTACGTTTAGTTATGATGCGCTAGTCCATAAGCGTAAGAAGTTAGTGTGTTTAGTTTTCTATTCACCCGATTTAAAAGTTAACAAAACCATATTAGACAATCAAACGGTATGTACTAATGCACTACACCATCACACCTCTAGACATCAACAGTCTCTAAAATCAGAATCTCAAATATTTGTTCTTTGTTACATACGATCTACAAACAGAGTGACTATTGTGTTAGTTATTTCATTCCCTGCCCCCTCCTTCCCCCCCCCCCCCACCCCCCGAGCATTTAACTTTGTTCTTCACCTTTACAAAAGTCTTACCACTAATTTTATATTTTCCAATAATTTTAATATTTTATTAAACGACACCATCTACTAAATGTTTTTATTATCACTTGTCCCAGGTCTACAAAACTGGAGGGCTCCGTTCGTCACTTTTTGCGATCATTGTGTCGCATAAACAAATAAATTGATTGCTTAGATTATTATAAAAAATAAAAAGATAAAGAGTTCATACAAACAATTTTTTTTTTAATTTCCTGATTAACAGCTTAAAAAAATATTTTGGAGACATATAATCCATCAACACCAAGTTGAAGTGAATGTCTGCACTATGTAAAACTTAAAATTACTCCGTTTTCTTATCAAAGAATCTGATTCCTGTACTCTTCATAATATTTAAGTTTTTTTAATTAAATCAGCATAATTCAAAAAATAATGTTCTATATTTATACTACTTTATAAAAAAATTACTTAAACATTACTGATAGCCCGAAACCTGGTTATATTTGTAGAAAGTGATAAAAAACGCAATGAGTTATAAAAAATTGGTCTTCAACTAAAAAATAACTTTTTAGCAAAGTCCCAAAGCCATTTTGAAAGCTATCTTAAAAGTCTGTACATAATAATAAAACACACCTTTAAGTAGAAATTGTTTTACTTATCAAATAATCTTGTGTTAATAGTTTTAAAGATTAGTATAAAAGTTTTAAATAAGCAGAAAATAAAGTTGTAAATTTAATATCAACACGTTTCTGCAAATAGTATTTATTAAAATATTTTTTTAAAAAATTTAGTTAAACATATACTTTAGGATAATTTTCAAAATTATAATATGAATATCAAGTTAGTTTTACAGCGTATGATTTACAGTGAAGGGATGAACCCACTCCAGCACTCCGTTATTTTTGCAATTACTTTTTTCTCTGTAAGTTGTACCTTTTTTTGTTTTTATTTTTATTTTAATTCTAAAAATTATTCCAGTGAACAGAACATCTTTTTAGTGTTGTGATTAAAATTAAAAATCGTAACTAACTAAACAAACTAACATTTTAGTCTAACTCATATTAGTCGACTAACTTTTTAGTCGAACTCATATTAGTCGACAAACATTTTAGCTCACCAAAATTTAGTAGGTTTATTTTTTAGTCAAACTAAAATAAGTCAGCTACCTTTTTACTTTAACTAAATTTAGTCGACTAACTATTTAGTTTAACTAAAGTTAGTCGACTAATTTTTTAGTTAACTTAACATATATATTAATTATAAAAGATAATTAATTTATTTTATATAGTTATAGTTAGTTATAAAAATATATAGTATAATTAATTAATATATAATATAATTAATTTGGATTTATGATACTATTTTACGTTGAATGTTTTTAATAAAGTTGTTAATTGCCCACTTTCATACGGGAAGGTCTGGGTACTAATAATTGAGCTGTAGGGACAAAAAAAAAATATTTTGTTTGTTACATATGCATTAGTTTAACGAAAAGCGATATATTATATCGTTTAGATCATATAAAGTTTAAAGTTAAGCGATATAAAGTTTAAAGTTAAGCGATATAAAGTTTAAAGTTAAGCGATATAAAGTTTAAAGTTAAGCGATATAAAGTTTATAGTAAAGCGGTATAAAGTTTAACGAAAAGCGATATATTATATCGTTTATATCATATAAAGTTTAAAGTAAAGCGATATAAAGTTTAAAGTAAAGCGATATAAATTTAAAGTAAAGCGATATAGAGTTTAAAGTTAGGCGATAAAAAGTTTAAAGTAAAGCCAGGGGCGGACGCAGGTTTTTAATTTACCCCGTCAAAAAAATGCGCCTGACGCCATGTTGTAAGTGACGCAACTACGCCCACAAAGCAAATAGAAAAAGTGGGGGGGGGGAGGAAGGGGAATAAGTAAGGGCGGATCCGGACTAAGTAGTAAATGGGGGTGGGCTATTTTTCTTTACGATCGATCCAAACGATTAAAGGGGGCAATTTACAGGTTTAACGATTTTTAAGCAGGCAAGTCTAAAAAAAAAGAAATTAGACTTTTGAACAGCCTACCAAATTTACTTACGTTTTTAAAAAATGTTCTTATAAAAAAAACATCTAAGGGAGGCTATCGCTTCCATAGCCTGTCCTCTATGTATCCCCTAAATCCTTCTACACTTGGGCTGGAGGATTTAAAGGGATTTTCTTTTTGTATTTCATTGAGAAGCGCATATCTTAGTTTTACTTTGAAACTTTTTTTTATATATAAATATATAATAAATGTATAAACCAACAAATGATTGTTTCGCCCAATATCAGGGCTCATCAGCATGTCTAGGAACTATTTATTCCGGACATGGACAATCAGAGAAAGAAAATCTAAGAACTAAAATGAGAAAGTCAAAAACACAAATGGATTTATATACATCGTGAAATAAAAGTTATATATATTCTCATATTACAAGATTAAAAAAAAAAAAGACATACCAAGTTAAGCTTTAACAACAAAAAAGAAGATCATTTTTGATGAAATAAAAAGAAAGCTTATGGTTTTGAAAACTACAGCAAAAAACTGATTTAAATGGCACAAAAACTTATTAATATTATTAGGTTGATTGAGAGAAAATTTATTGAAAATACTTATTTTAATTTTTTATTTTGTTGCTAGAAAAAGATATAAAGAGATTGTCAAAAAGAGATGGTTAATGTTTGCCTGAACTATGATCACTAATCATATAGCTAATCTCAAACAAAAATATGGTGTTACATTTAACCCGTCCTGTTAAGGACACCATTGAAGTCTTGGCCTTTCAATGGGTTTCCATGCCTATTTGTTACCTGTTACATAAAGAGAGGTGATAATAGAAAAAAATTTCAAAAGTTGTTGGTGTGTTATAAAATAAACAGTATAAACACTAATCATTGAAACCAAGTCGTCTATTTTTTATAGAAAATCTATTGATAACATTATCAATACAAGGAACAGTTTTTTGATGGATATACATTAATGCCAAACCGTTAAGTCAATCTTCTGACATTGTTGTTCTCATATAGTCTTTTAACCGACACATAACAGAAAAACTCCTCTCACACTTACATGAAGTAACAGGAAGTATCCCAAGCATCCTTAAAGCTATCTTGATATTTTCAAATCCAGGAAATGATATCGATTTAAGAGTTAAAGATATATTGTCAGGAAAAGTCCCAGAGAAACTTTCCCAGTATTTTTTCCAAAGAACTAGTTCCCCATTCAAGGCACTGATATTAGGAAAATCATCTATATAACAATTATAGAATGTTTCAAACTGCTTCCTCCAACACAATTGGGTTTCGGGTCTTTTAAGAAAAGAAATAATATTAAATGGAATAATTGATAACCCTTTAAATGCAGCTACATTTTCTGATTTATATCTTGTAGATATAGATGTAGATACATGATCTATAAGAGGGATAGTAACAGCTCTTTTGAAGTACTCTGAAACAGACTCTGACGGAACATTATAACGATTTTTTTGAATAGAACAAGTTCTTGGTTTTAGAACAAAAATTTCAGCTTTACTTAAAAGCAAACATGCTGCTTCATAGCAGTTATTATGAAAACTATCTATATCGTTTCTGATGGAAATAAATGTAATTTTAAGAGCAGTAATAAGGTGCAAACCGTCTAAGATATCAATAGTTTTTGATTGCAGTAACCGAGTAACAGGTAAAGTAAAATCAAAGACACGTGTTGTCACAACTAAAGTAAAGACGAATTGAAAAGTGCCAATGGAATTTAAAAAAGTAGAAGATTTATTTTGTGAGTCTTTGTTAACAGAACTTTCAGGGGAAGCCATGATACATAAAGCATGGAAAATAGATAAATAATGCTCAAGAAAAGTGTTTAAACTCTCTATCTATACGCTCAATCCATCTAGTTCTACAGATATCTTTAAAAATTTTTTTATGTGTTTGAGGTTCTCGCTCTGAAATGCTAGCTTCTAAAAAACTTTTGTCTATTTTCTGAATAATTAAAAAAATAAGATAGTTTGCAAACTTTATTGAAAACCTCTGAAACAAATTGGACATTACACGATTCACAAACTGATAAACTCAGTAGATGGCTATGACAATGTGTATACAAAGCCTTTGAAGTTATATTGAGAACCTGAGCAGAAAGACTATTTATATACCCAGAAACAGATCTGGCTCCATCATATACCTGACCCCTACAGTTTTTTATATCTAAATTTAAGTTGCTTACACAATTTAAAAGAAAATTAAACAAATCTTTTCCTTTAACTCTTTCGCTACAATGAAGAAATTGATATCAGTCTTCTCTGATATTGAAATCACTATCAACAAATCGTAAAACAAATGACATTCGCTCTTTAGTAGACGAGTCACAGGCGTCATATGCAATTATTGAAAAAAAAACATTTTTGCAAACTTCAGATAGTATAGATTCACTAATTTCTTTATTACAGCATTTAATAATTTCCAAATAGTACACAAGATAAACAAAATGCCCCATCAGTATTTTTAGAATATTTTAGCCATGAAAACTCTTTCAACCAAAGATATCTAAACTGACGACCAGAATTTTTTGGGAAAATGTAATTTTCATTGGGAATAAACATATTTTTAGTTAATAAAAAAATTTTATGGTCAGATAAAAATTCAACTTTTTGTCTAAAGAAAGCAACATCATTTTGCTCAAAAGACTGGAGAGCATTTAGTACTTCTTTAGGTGGTAAAATAATGTTCGAAGGGAATTCAATATTATTATTATTATAAAAATTTGGCACTTTCCTGATGCTTGAAGATTTTGTAAAAAAAGATTTTGATAGAACCCTGTCCTTAGATGTTTTTGAGTGAGAAGAAACATCTTTATTTAATGTTAATCATTGAAAAGATGATGTGGATTGAGAATAAGACACTGCTAACTGAGAAGAAAAACTACTTGATTTTAGAATACAAGATGTATTTTGTAAGACTGCACTAGTAGGTTCTAAGTCTAGGTTTGTTTTATGAAAGAATGTAAGGATAGAGTAAGGCTTTTTATTTGGATTTTTAGCTTCTGTGCTGGGTACAATTGTAGCAACTTGACCAATGGTGGTCTGTTTTGTATCTATAAATTTTTTAGGTGACAAGACTGGCAGCAATTTTTTCGAAATTATTGGTTTTGATTTACTGGAAAGTTTATGCTTTTTAGGAATAAAAATTAGTGCAACATAGTGATTATGCTGAAATGTACTTGACTGAAAATTCCCATCATAAAAAAACAATATGTAAAATGGGGAATAAAATTTAATGGGAGTACGTGGTGAGATCTCTTGATTAAAAAATATTTTATACTTTTCAACACCGAAATCTGGGTAACAGGAAACAATATTACAAAAAAGAGCCGATGATAAACCTAACAAACATAAAAAACGAGCCCATTTTTCTGTTCTCTCACAGTTTGCAATTGGTTCAGCTTTTATAATAATATTCTTATTTTTGAAGCCAGAATCAAATGCAGAATGAGATACTGACATACACAAAAAAATTTTGAGATGAGAACTATAATCAGAAAATGTTTTTGAAAATAAAGGATGCTTACAGTAATAATCAGCATGTATATAAATTTCAAGGGATGTTAAAACTCTTAACACATCCATCAGTGTATTGTCAGCAACAAAAAATAATGATGCAGAGCTGTACATATAACTTCCAGATGTTTCAGACCTTAAGCAAAAATATATATGTTTACTTCATGTTCTTAAGAGCTAATTTTCTTTTATCAATAAATTTAAAATTGAGTAAAAAATCTTTGCTTTTTAAACAAATTTATAAATCAAATCAATAGTCAAGAATTCAGACAAACCAACGAACGATTTTGACATGTAGGAATTTAATACATACATATGTTTAATACATGAACATATTCTATTCATCCATGTCAAAATCATTTGACGGTG